ATTAAGTAATTGGACCATGCTAGTCGGATTTAAGGCAAAGTTTTTAATTGATCATTTATTGATGCAATCATTTTCTAAAAGCAAGCTTACCAACCTTCAAAATATATTTACTGCAGGATAAAAATTATTATACCATAGATTACACAAATTTCAACAGAAATCAATATTATTTTTTCAAATCCCTCATGATTATTTAATAAATAATAGAATGTATTCATTTATGTACTAGTTGTAGTTAATTCTCATATAACAAAATCTTTCTATACGTATTATGATACGCTCATTTTATTACATTTAGAATTATATTGAAATTCTGTATTTATTTGCTTCTTCAATATGCTAGCAACTATCAGAAGTATTGACAAGTAGCTTCGTTTCAACCATAGAGTTCGAAGTTTAATTTTCCAAATTCTATCGTAGAAATTACACGTTGGACTTTTTGTGTGCATTCAGTAGTAATTTTAATGCGTTTTCGAGTTATTAGGTATTTAGTGTGCAACTCTGCAAAAAAAGAAAATTCAATATTTTTATCAACTTGAATTTGGTTCAAAATAGTTGTATCAGCAAAACAATCTAATACATGTTATATTTTTTATTAGACTTTTGAAGAATTTGTTGTTTTCGATGAAGTACATGGTTTTAAGAAATAGAGCCATGCGTTTTAGAATGTAGCTTCTTTGTCATTGCAGAAACAATATATTATTAGCGCGCTATGTTATGTTGTATATTTATCTTGTTTTTGTTGTTTTTTCTTCACATTAGATTAAAAAAGTGAATTTGTAAAGTTTTCAATTTTTGATAGAACTCATTGAATTCGACCGGAGTCAGTGTCAGATTCATAGAACTCTTGCTATATGAACATTGCAACAATTCTTTAACGGTAGATTATATATATACCAAATAAGGAATCTACTCTGAGAGAATCACTTTCCAAATTTTTTCCGTTTAGCTTATGGATGTCGGATTCCACAAAAAATAAGGTTCTCAAGACACTTGGTGTCTTGACCTTTTTTTTTGTACGTTAGAAATGTACGTTTAATCAATTTGCTCGGCGTTTGCCGAGCTCACATGCTGACATTCACAATCCTAACCATTTTTGGTATAGGATCTACAAATCTTCATTTTATAATGAAGTTCTCTTTTGGATTCTTAATTTGATCCTATCCAAAATGAGAACTTCATTATAAACGCTCTTTAAAGAACTCTCTGATCCATATTTTGTCAGAGATTGCATATCAATTACACTAGAGCAAAGTTCTTCCTGAAGATTAATCTTTTATAAGCTGATCCTCAGAAAGAACTTTGCTCTTTTCGACTTATATACAGAATCCAACGATAAATTGGGGGGAACGGTATTAGCTACCCTAAAGTACTATGAATTTCTCTTCATAGTACCTTTTGAGAAGCTAAATACCGCTCAAATACATTGTTTTAGAGGTGATTACAAGAACCCAACATTAATGCAAAGTTCTTTGGGTCTATCTCAATCAATAAGGTAACTCAAAGGAGTTTGCATTAATTAAGGAATATCTTATTCATAAAAAGCATAAATACATTAATTATGAACAGATTTCTTTCGAAGACCCCAATTAAATGAGAGTCTTCGAAAGAAATCTGTTCATAATATAGTAAATACTTGAAAACAACTCTTTGGTGAGTAAAGAATGATACGTCAAACCCTAATTAGGATAACTCTGCAAGAGTTTCACTATTTAGTGAAACATCTTGTTGAGTTTTTTCTTAATTTATGATTGCTGACGTTCCGATGACCAGAGAGTACTTTTACAACGCTTTTAGAGCAGTATTAATACGAAGCCTCTCATTGAATGAGAGACTTCGGATTAATACTGTTCTATTCAAGTAGTCTCACTAAGCACTGACTTCCTGTAGACTAAAGAACTGGATTACATCTACTAATCAATTGATTCGGATGGAAATCAGAAAGCGTATTCGAGAAGATACAATCCAGAAGTGCAAGACTTAAGAATTCTAAGTTAGAATATCATAAGTACTGCAGTCCTGGATTGTAGAATTCATATGATGGCCAAGTGGAGAGATCATAATGATGCAGGATAATGTATGCGGCAAATGATGTTATATGCTTATAGAAGTAGGCAAATGCAGTACAATGATATATACTTTATATAAACATATAATATCATTTGACGTATAGCATAATATCAAGATAGCATAGCAAAATAAATTTTTAGAGGGTAAAAATATATGAAAATGGGTAAAATTCAATAGTGTCTGACCTATCGTTGTTTTTGATGGTGTCTTATGTAACCGTCAGACACATTCAAATTTTGAATGGTGTCTTGTGGTTTGACAGACACCTTTGAAAAAATAAAATCTCTTTTATTTTAATTATATAGAACCTTTACATATTATACTAGATTTTACCCGTTTTAATTGTTGAGTTTTGATATAATTTTTCTTTGAAAAATGCGCAAAATAAATTTGAAAATAAAAATTTTGAAGTCAAGACACTATGATGACACCTAGCAATTTCTCAGAGACACCTATCGTTGGGAAAATTACATCCGTAGTTTAGCTCGAAATGAAGTTAAGTTTTTAGTATTTTTTTACAAAATTTGATTTTTCTCAAAAATTTGGAATTTTAGGAAACAAAGCTCTTCGTGGTAGTATGTATTATAGGTATATGTATCTATTTCTCGTTGAGCAATGTCACTGCCTCTTGAGGAAAAAAAGATATGTTACATTTACTATTTTTCATATAAATTCCAGCAATTTTAGGAGTGCTTGCAACAAACATAAGTATCTCAAATACTTGAAATATTGAGACATGGACTTGGGTACATATATATAACTATATATTCTATAGCACCACGAAGAGTTTTCTCCATTCCAAGCTTTCAATATGGAGTTATAATGAGATCTTAATTATACTTCTAAAAACAATAAAATATTTCAAAATTTTAAGTGATAATTAATTGCAATTCTCTTTTATTTAATAGACCTCATATCATTCTATAAATATATCATATTATCATTTCTTAATATCAAATATTTAATTCAGGGGGAGGCAGTGTATGTGCCCTAAAATTGAATGGGTCGGAGTACACCCTTAAAAGAAATGTAAACTTCAGAAAGTTACTTCCCTTGTCAATATTTTTAATGAGTCGTATCATGGCTGTTTAAAAATTTGGCCTCACCCCTGTTATTGTTTTTGATTGTCAAGCAGCCAAGTTTATGACAAATTAGAAGCTTCAAGAAGAGCGACGTGAATCATTAATTATTGCTCATCAATTATAAATAGAACGACGATTACCATCAGCATTTGAATATTATCAAAAATCAATTGAAGAAATAACTTATAAAAGAATACATCGAGTACATAGTATCACTATGAATTAGATTCATAATTATCATATCTTGCAAGAACAAGATACTTTGATTGTGTTTTAACATATCTAACACCATTAGTATTATACAAACATTATGATTTCTTACAAGTTACTTGAAATAGATACCAATATTTCATAACTTTTCATAAATTAACACCCAACAACTTTATATCTCTTTGTATATTCATTTGATGTAACTATTCACCATCAATTACAAATCTTTCTCTGAAACTATCTCTTAAACTCATTTTAGAATACGAAAATTCAACAAATGTAATTATTTCTTCTAGATCTCACCAAAAAATACATAATTTACAACAAATTCTAATACATGTTTAACATTAAATTTAGAACATTCTTTTTTCCTCTTTCATATGATCCAATAACAGAACAATTAGTTTTTTTTTCATTCAGAATCTCCGTAAGAACACAACTTTTTTATAATCATACATTTCTGCAGATATACTTAAACATCTTGTTCAAGGTTAAATCAAGAAAACAAGTATCCATCGTAGGAAAGATTATTAGCCATGAAGATAGCACAATCAGCATTGATTACTTGGTGAATGATTGTACAGGCAGTATCAAAGTTAAGAATTTCATTTCAGATGATAATCCAGAGCCAATTCCAGATGGAACATACGTTTTTGTTGTTGGAAGAATTACACCTGCTATTGAAGATGGAATATCTTCATTCACAATCAAACCCATAACAGAATTCGATCAAATTCCTTATCATATGCTTTACTCATTGTTCGTACACTTACAGACAACAAGAGGAACACCCCCAGACTCCTCTTTCGCTCAAGCACCAAAGCATGTTGAAACAGCACCCTCCTCCAATGCGATCAAGCGAAGACAGAGATGAAAAGATTAAGAACGATGTCATTGAATTCCTCAAAGAGAACAATTCAGATCGCGGAACTCCAGAAGAACAAATTATTCAACATTTCTCACACATATACTCGCAGAAGAAGTTAAGAAAGCAGTTGAAACAGCAAACTTTAATGGTGAAATCTACTCTACAAGCGAAGATAATTGTTATAATCCTTGCTAAATTTTGAATAATTTTCTCTTGAAATCATTGTTACTGATACAATATTTAATGTTTGCTCTAATAAACCATCATTTTTCTGTAATAATTTTTTGAAATTAAAATATTTCAATCTCTTCTTATTTTCTAATGAATTTTTAATTAAGTAATATCTTTATATGGATTTCATAGCTCATTAATTGCATATTTCCTTCTAATTTTAAGTTTTTAGCTAATAATCTATTCAATATATTTTTAATAATCATGCTAGAACATATTGTAATAATTCACATGCGTTTTTATTTATAATACAGAATGCCCTCTCGCATAATAGCAAACTTATAGGAGTCGATACAGATCCAATGCTTAACGAAGGGTTTGCAAAGTTCTTAATCAGCGCAAGCTTTCATGTGTTACTCCAATCTATGCTGTTCCACTTGTTATCGACAACGGCCACCTCTTCCTAACATCAGGTCTTCGTATCATCGTCCGCATCATCATTGATCACAAGTACGGCTGCTTTTCTGCTCGAACAACAATCCACTGATGGTCATCCGTCCGATTTGGTGGAGAGAAGAACATCTTCCCATACCAATGGAATGCTGAAATGTTATTCAACTCTTCATTGTTTTACGAACTTCCAGTTCTTTCTATCTACGACCGCGCTTAACTCTCTGGGTCCACGATTCCATATTATCATAAGGATATTGGTGATTCGCTCACCTATGAAGTCACACAGGAGGCTAAGCGACACATCAGTATTCTCAACTTGTTCTGCCCAATTCCTCTTGAAGGAGTTCCGACCATCTTGTAAATTCTTTAGTTCGTCGGTGTCTCTGACTTAAAGTACTAAGAATAAATTTAATAAATAAGAAATATTTCTACATAACAAGTCATTTAGCCATTATTTCTACTTGAAACCAGCAACAAAAAATCGAGATATAGGAAGAACAATATGCATTTTATTTATTTACTAAAGAAATACAAAGAGAAGTAATGAAATGATATGAATAATGATAAACAATTTCATCATATGTGATAATTTTCTTCTTTATCATTAAAACTAAAATAGGAAACTCTGCTTCACACAGATATGATGAAAAGTGTGAAAGATTATGAATAGAAGATATATTTTGAACATTATTTGTTGTAACTGATCCATATGTTTTATCTGTTCTGTCACAGAAAGAATCTTTAACTGTAATTGAACCAGAAACCCATTGATAAAATTCTACTCCTGGTCCTGTGTTTCCAAGAAATGAACAGTTTTCAATACGAACAGTTGATTCACCTCCATAGAATGTTCTGTGGTTAGAATATTTGTGTTCATTATTCAAAACATTACAAAAATTAAAACTATAGTTACCAACACCTAATTCTAAAATTATATAATATGATGTTGTGTTACAAAATGATGAATATGTTACATTACTTAGACTTGTTGGAACATATAGAAGTATTCCTGATCCATATAATGCTTTACAGAAACTTGTGTTGATTGATTTAACTTCAATATTTCCATAATAAAGATAATTTGTAAAAGATTTTTCTAAATTTCCGCATTCATAAAAAGAACTTTCATAAAGATAATTTTTATTATTTGATTTAGAATCTAAGTAAGCATATGAATGATGTCCTTGATCGTTTGTTTTTGATTTGTAGCTACATGTTCGGTATTGGACAATGGAACTATCACATTTAAAGTTGATAGATCCACCATATGTATTACTGCTGCAATTAGTAAATGAACAATATGAGCTAAGAAATTTATTGTTTGATACATTAAAATAAATGGCACTTTTAGTTGTAATGGTGATGAATATACAGTTATATAAGAAGCATTCATTTTTTGTTGATTTCGCGGTAACATTTGTACCTTGAATTGGTTTTGAATTATGTGATGTATTGTAAAAGAGTTCCCAAACATCATCAGGTGATTGATCAAAGTGTAAATTATTCATAGTTGATGTGTGTTTTGATACTGTTATCTGAAAATCGTGATTGAATTTCATTGTTTTCATCAAAAAAATGAATCGGCATTATTTGACATTTCAATGATGTAAATGTCAAATAATGCCGATTCATTTGAATCTTATATTCAAGTTATGAAATTGCGATTCTTTTAGCTGTCATCAGCATTTTAACAGCTAGTGCATGGAAACAATGATGTAAATCATTCTAATCTTATATAAAAACATCGATTTTGCTGATTAAATTTTTGGATTTCGTAATAAAATGATCAATATTGTAAATAATTAAAGCTATTGTACTTACACATGATTTGTATATTATAAAATGTATGAAATATCGACTTAATTCGCTTGAAAATTTGAAATAGGGAGAATCTTTATATAAAACGCCTAATATCTAACAATTATTACATTAAATGAATACTTAAATTTGAGTAATCGATGATTTATATGAATTCTCTGGTCTGAATAAAGAATATCGAAAATTAGTTTGATTTTGGGGTTGTTTTGATAGTATTGTCAAATGTAATGATGTAAAAACATGAATTTATTAGTAAATACATGCTCGTGTTTGAGTAAAAATAGATATTTGTTGTTGTGAAATAAGTATTTGATTTCTTGTAAATCTTGAATGAAAACAATAAGTTCGTATCAATGGGAAAATCGAATATGTAGCTATTTAATTTGTATCAAAAGAATTTTTTAATGAGAATTTAAATTTCGAAGAAATTTGTTATGTATCGTTGAGTTTTGTAATTAAAACTGATATGTTAATGATGTGATTTGCTTTTTTAAAACATTTATTAGTCTTGATGAAATAATTTTTCTTTTGTTAAACATTTCTTCTGAGTTTGCTAATAAAGACGGAGTCCTTTGTGAATGTGACATAGGCGCCCGAGAACCGTATGCACAAAAACTCTTATTGGGTGTCTTGTCTTTAGATATTCTTTCAAAAATATGCCAAATTTGATTGATGATTTCTAAAAAAGTAATCTAATCATCTGATGCCATTAATTGTATTTAGAAAAAAAATTCGTTTCTTTTAATTTTTTAAGAGTATCACAGCAGATGATTAACTTTCCTTGATTTACGATACAACTAATTCACCAAATGCAGAAGTGCAATCGAATACAAACAATCGAATCTCCTAATTGATGAATCAAATAGTCCATTTTTCATTGAATTATTTAATCAAATCGTCTCTAATCATAGCAATCCTCCAAAATCAATCAGTAGTACACATGTTATCTTTGATCAATTCTTACGTTATAAAGAGAAGAGCACATTTATATGATCTCATGTATATTTTTGATTTTTTTTTTACAAATCTTGTCAATAAGACATTTGAAGTTGTTACCGATACAGTTACATAATTTTGAGATACAAATTCACCGCGCAATATTATTTTATTAAACTAAAACAGAGATAATTTTCTAAAAATTTAAATCATACATTGATCAGTACCTTGTAGAAGATACACATATTGATTTCAAATTCGTATGCATTGAAATGTTCGACGACATTTACACTGTTCGTTTTGAACCTATAATTATTCCATTTATAGTTGAAATGACAAAAATTTACCACATCAAGATAAGCGATGATACAATCGAATTGATCTCACATTTCAGCATGATACAAATATCAATAATATGTAAACTAAGAAAACATTATTGATATACTTAAGGGTGCACCCGTATGTACGTTTATTTGAGAGGAGGAGGATTATATTTTTGAAAGGGTGAAACATTATGAATATGTTAATTATATAATAAAAAAAAAAAAAAAAAAAAAAAAAAGAAAAGGTAGTGGGGCCTCCAGGCGCGTTGCGCCCTCTAGCCCTGAAGTTTTTTTTTCTTGGGATGGGCCTCCAGGCACTTCGTGCCCTCTAGCCCATAAAAAATTTTTGAGAGTCGTCGTCGTTGACTTTTTTGGTAGAGCACTCAAAATAGTATAACTTTGTCCGGACAAGTAAGGGTCTATCGTCGCTACAGGAAAAGTTACAGGCGTTCCAAGGAAGTATACTTTGAGAAGACTTTTCCCCTTATAGAATGAGATAGGATGGTTATTTTACAAAACTGACAACACTTTGACCGAGTAGTTTTTTGAGCTGAACAAAAAGTGTCATATAAACATCTGTCGAAAACCGCTTTTTAACTTCACTTAAAATGCCACGTAAGCTACGTAAGAATATACGTAAGAGGAAGAGAGCATTGAAACATCCAATAGTAAAACTGACACCACAACAACAGTTGCAACAACAAATGCTGAATGACCCCACTATGTTGCAACAAATGTCAAGCAACCCTATGATTTTAAACCGAGTTCTTGGTGCACAGAGTGGAGGTTTAAGAGCGGCACTTTTAGCGAAAATGGCAGGCTATGGTGGAGCTGCAGACGGAACAGCCTATAACCCTCAAAGTCAAATGAATTTGAGTTCACTCAAAAATCAAATAACAGATGTCAAAAAGTCAAACATAGACATACAGAAGCAAATAAGTGAAAACGAAAAGAAACTAGAATATGACAGACACACAAAGAAACTCAATGAGTTAAACGTAGAGAAAAAGAAGAAAGAAGAACAACTGAAAGAACTAAGTACAGAGGAATATGCGAAAAAAGTGTCAGAAAAAGCAGCAGAAGTAGCAAAAATGGAACAAGATGTTGTAAATTTGAAAAAACCATACTACTCAATATAAAGTACTGAAAGATGAAGAGATAAAACAAAAAGCCCTGAAGACATATATGGATAGCGATGAGTATAAAAAAGAAGTTGAAGCAAATGTAAAGGCAGAAAAACTTTTACAGTTGCAAAACCAAACCGTACAGTATGAAAACTTAGCACAAGAAAGTAAAAATAACGACGCAGCCATGCAAAAGGCAATGAAAAGCGCAGAATATATAAAAGCTAACAATGACTGGTTAGATGCCCAAGCCAACGCCAAAGCAGCCCAACTTATAGGGTCAATAAGGACAAAAATACAAGCGGATGAAGACAGTTCAAATGAAGCTTTAACAAATGCTGACTTTAAGAACGCCTTCGAAGCTCTTCATAGTAAGGTGAAACAAGTGAACGACTTCTCATCTGGAAAGAAACTGAAGTCTGAAGGTTTCGACAAAGAGTTAAGAGAAGTAGCACAAAATATGACGAAAATAACAGATGCAGCAACGAGACAGGCAGTTCAAAGTGCCTATGACGCCGTTAGAGCAACTGTTGTGGAAAGTCAAGAAAAAGAGTTACAACAGACCAAAACAGACCTAGTAAATGCTTTCTTAAAAACGAAAAGTCAGGTAGGACACTATGCTGCAGATGGAACATATGTGCCAGCTGGTGGAACTTATATACCACCAAACCCTCCAAGAGAAGCACCTGCACCAGGACTACCTAAAACATTTACGAAGAAGTTTTGACAAAACATTTACGAAGAAGAAGTCATGACAAAACATTTACGATGAAGTCTTGACAAAACATGTACGATGAAGTCTTGACAAAGTCTTTACGAAGAAGTCATGACAAAACATGTACGAAGAAGTCTTGACAAAACATATACGATGAAGTCATGACAAAGTCTTTACGATGAAATCTTGACAAAACATTTACGAAGAAGTTTTGACAAAGTCTTTACGATGAAGTCTTGACAAAGTCTTTACGATGAAGTCATGACAAAACATTTACGAAGAAGTCATGACAAAACATATACGAAGAAGTCATGACAAAACATGTACGATGACATTTTGACAAAACATATACGAAGAAGTCATGACAAAACATGTACGATGACATTTTGACAAAACATATACGATGAAGTTTTGACAAAGTCTTTACGAAGAAGTCATGACAAAACATTTACGAAGAAGTCATGACAAAACATTTACGAAGAAGAAGTTTTGACAAAGTCTTTACGAAGAAGTCATGACAAAACATTTACGAAGAAGAAGTTTTGACAAAACATATACGATGAAGTCTTGACAAAACATTTACGAAGAAGTCATGACAAAACATTTACGATGAAGTCATGACAAAACATATACGAAGAAGTCATGACAAAGTCTTTACGAAGAAGAAGTTTTGACAAAACATATACGAAGAAGTCATGACAAAACATATACGAAGAAGTCATGACAAAACATGTACGAAGAAGTCATGACAAAGTCTTTACGAAGAAGAAGTTTTGACAAAACATATACGAAGAAGTCATGACAAAACATATACGAAGAAGTCATGACAAAACATGTACGATGACATTTTGACAAAACATATACGATGAAGTCATGACAAAAACATATACGAAGAAGTCATGACAAAGTCTTTACGAAGAAGAAGTCATGACAAAACATTTACGATGAAGTCATGACAAAACATTTACGAAGAAGAAGTTTTGACAAAACATATACGAAGAAGTCATGACAAAGTCTTTACGAAGAAGAAGTTTTGACAAAGTCTTTACGAAGAAGAAGTTTTGACAAAACATATACGATGACATTTTGACAAAGTCTTTACGAAGAAGTCATGACAAAACATATACGATGACATTTTGACAAAACATGTACGATGAAGTCTTGACAAAACATGTACGATGACATTTTGACAAAACATTTACGAAGAAGTCTTGACAAAGTCTTTACGAAGAAGAAGTCATGACAAAACATTTACGATGAAGTCATGACAAAACATTTACGAAGAAGTCATGACAAAACATATACGAAGAAGTCATGACAAAGTCTTTACGAAGAAGTCATGACAAAAACATATACGAAGAAGAAGTTTATTTCCTGGACTGTTGTCAAAATGTCATGTTGTCACACTTTTTCAGAGAAGTTAAAATGACCGAGGGACCGAGGGACCGAGGGACCTGGTGACACCTTCAGTTCTTCAAAACATGTACGATGAAGTCATGACAAAAACATATACGAAGAAGAAGTCTTGACAAAACATGTACGATGAAGTCTTGACAAAACATGTACGATGACATTTTGACAAAACATTTACGAAGAAGTCTTGACAAAACATGTACGATGACATTTTGACAAAACATATACGATGAAGTCTTGACAAAACATATACGATGAAGTCTTGACAAAACATATACGAAGAAGTCATGACAAAACATTTACGAAGAAGAAGTTTTGACAAAACATATACGATGAAGTCTTGACAAAACATATACGATGAAGTCTTGACAAAACATATACGATGAAGTCTTGACAAAACATATACGAAGAAGTCATGACAAAACATTTACGAAGAAGAAGTTTTGACAAAACATATACGATGAAGTCTTGACAAAACATATACGATGAAGTCTTGACAAAACATATACGATGAAGTCTTGACAAAGTCTTTACGAAGAAGTCATGACAAAACATGTACGAAGAAGTCTTGACAAAACATATACGATGAAGTCTTGACAAAGTCTTTACGAAGAAGTAACTTCATCTAGTGAAAGTAGTGGCAATGAAGGAAAAAGAAGAGTTAAAAACTCAGTCAGGAAGAAAGTAAAGCTTGGTCCGAGTGGGTTCTATTATGACAAATAAATCCAACTATTCTATATTTTTACCCATATGAAATGTACGCCGCTCAGAATATAACGCCAACAGTTTTGGATGCCATGAACGGAAATGTTTCCGAATGGTATAACGAATGCGACAATGCCATTAGAAGGTCAGAAATAGTTCCTGGAACTTACGAATATACAACTGCTGTTTCTTATGGAAACGTAGGTGAGTTTGGAGAAGGTTCTTCAACAACAGTAGATATTGCTTGCGACAGGTTTCATATAATTTCTATTGACAACTCATTCTTATACGTGGAACAAGACATTGAAATAAAACCTTCTGCTGACTTGAGAGGTAAGAAAGGTTGCAATGGTATTTTCTATGTCGGATACCAATATGCTCCAGAAGTTTTCATGGGATATAAGATATATTCTAACTCTGACTTAGTTCAAACAGTAACATGGGCAAACTATGAATGGTTCGCTTTAAGAAACTCAGTACAACCACAAGCTAGAGAACAAACAGACCAGTATGCAACTATTGAGAAAATAAGAAGACTTGACCCTAACGTTCCAGGAGTTTATGTTAACCTTTCTGGTTCAGATGGAAATGCTGTCACTAAAGTAAAACTGAAACTTAGAGTTCCTTTGTCATCTTTCCTCATCTTCAGGTTTTTAAGATACTTGCCAAACTGGGCAGGAAAAATTTCTATTGAACTTACTCCAAGCAAAAATAACTTAGTCATTGCACCAACGCAAGACCCATTCACTCTTACAGACGTAAAGGGAGCAAATCAAACGTCATTCGCCGAATTTTGCAAAGACAAAGTTGACTTAGACTTTGGTTTCTCAAACCTCAACACTGAAGTAAAGTATTATTTCAATGCTGCTGGAACTGCTTGGGACCCAGTTAGGTTTACATGCGAACAGTTTGAATGCAAGAGAATAGAAAGCAGACTTGCAGTCTATATGTTGGACCCAGATATTTCAAATGCTTTAGCTGCCAAATATATTGCAGTTCCACTTATGTTCCCTATACACCAAATATCTGTCAAAGACTTTGCAGGTGAAGTTGGAAACCAAAATCCAGGAACCGCAGGTGCAAGAACAGATATTGCTTTAACAACTGCAATGAAACACGCAGATACTATGTTTGTACTGTTCAGACGAACTATAAATGACTATTCTTGTTTCTACAACCCTGGTATTAAATATCATATAAACATAGATGGCAAATATTATCCAAGAGAAGAATATTCTACAGTTGAGGATATGAGGTCATACAACTTGACATTAGATGCTATGAACTTTAACAACAACTTCACAACAACCATTAACCCTGAAATGCAAAGTTCTATTATGCCATATGTGAAAGTATGGACCCATACAGGAAGTCAAAAAACTCAATATACAAATGGAGACCGTTCAAACTTTTGGCTTGGCATTCCATTTGCTGACTCAGAAGACTTTATGGGTGGTATTTCAACTGTTGGTACTGTACAAATACAATATACTGGTGACAGAGACGGTCCATATGAACTGAGAGCAAAGAAGTTTACAAAACCAATAGCACTTTTCACGGAAGATGCTCTTTTGAAGATTCGTTCGATGAAACCTGCTGGGGCTCCTCAGATTGGCATAACGACAGCTTCCATCGAGCAGATTTTGGCAGCAGGTCAGTAAGTTGTTCTTGAACTGACTTCTCTCCGTCAAATATTGACAGTACGCCAGTTTTGACATAAAATTGTATTATAAACTTACCTTTAGAAATATCTGTAAGTTTTGAAGTTATATTTTTGTCTGCTTCAAGAACTTTCACCATTTCAGTTATACCAACTTTCTTTGCTTTATGAAAATATTTTGGTTCAGCAAAGACTGCTATTCTATAACATTTTCCATTGTTTGTGTAAAGAACTATTCTGTCAATGTATTTGTATTGTTTGTGTGTGTAAACTTTGTTTTGCTTCAATTCGAAGAGATACTCAAATACATCCATCTTTTTATTCTAAGTAAAATGTCATTTCCGAAAAATAGAAGCGTAAGTGTTTCAAAAGGTTTAATGGCAGTGGCAGATGTGAAGTTAAATTCACCAACTCAAACAAACAGTCAAAGTGTTATTGTCAATGTCAAAGAAAGAGATGTTGAAGTGGGGAAACCATACGAAGACGAAGATGGTATAACAATAGTTCCTGTAAAAGAACAACCAACATACCCTGAAGTTAGCAGAGACTTAAGTTCTGTTGCAGATATTCGAAACGACTACCAACAACTGAAAGACAAACTTCAAACTCAGGAGAAGATTTGTCAAGCTTTAGGTATAATGTTAAACTTGGTCGAACACAACCCTGTAAAAGTGAACTCATATGTCATTGCACCTCATGAAGTTTTGAAAGAACTATTGAAACTTTTGACAGAGGCAGACGATATAAACATCAAAGAAATAGAACCCGACGTTAGTTGCTGTGGTGTTTCATATAATGTCATTGACAAGATATACGTTATGAAAGGAGGTGAAACGTTGAACTTAAAATATAGTTTCCCAGACGTTATAAAAATATTTGACGACCACAACATTTCATTAAAATTTATTTGCTAAGTAAATGGCAGAAGACATAGTGGTTTATACTATTACGACTAAAAACCCTGAGTCATATAATTCTATAACAACAAACTTACAAAGTCCTCAAGGACGATATTGTAAACTAACTTTAAACACAATGACGACTAAAGCCTGTTTTGCTCTTTTGACACCAAGAAGATTTTATTGTTGTGAATGGTAAAAAATACTCCTTTGAAGATACTTACTCAGATATACCACCAACAGGTTTTGTTGACTTATTTAATACTTTAAGGACGAGTGTAACATGTGCTGCAACTAGAGCAGGTTTCATTATGTTTGGATGTCCGACTGAGTTTACTATAAACAATATGAGCTATAATACAAAACTTATATCTGGTTTTTACTACCAACAGTTTCCTATAACAGGAAAAGGTGTCATACAAGGAATGTCTGTTCCATTGACTTTAAGCACACCTATTTTATATATTGTTTCAAACTTAGGTTCAAAGTGCTATTCGAATGTCGACAGAAACTACTATGACCAAAAGATACTTATGCGTATAAACAACACTTTCTCTGCTGGTTTGCCTATTGTTCATTCGAATGCAGAGTTTTCAGCTTTAGTAAACTCAAACACTTTAGCAAACATAAACTTAACCTTAGTTGACGCAAACTTTGTTCCTGTAAAACTTTTATGTCCTATGTATTTGTCAATGACGGCAGAAAGTTTCGAATTGGAAGATGCAACTGGTGAAAGTATTGTATTACAAGAACAACTTCAACAACAAATAGCTCAAGAACAACAAATGCAACAAATAGCTCAAGAACAACAAATGCAACAAATAGCTCAAGAATAAAAAAAAATATTTTTTTTATTTTTATAAAAATGTACAGAATAGATGTTTCAGATTTTTATGACTTCCAAGCATTCAGAAATATGTGTCCATTTAGAGACTATAACAAAGCAGTCGAGAATTTGAAACGTTTAGTCATTTATGTCGACTCTGCCCCAGAATGTTATGTCATGAAAGAATGGGATGTAGTCTTTAACAAACCAAGAGCGACAATAGTTTCAGAACAAGAATGTAAACAGAAACTTAAGAAAATAAAAGTCGTACAAGTTGGCATGAAGATGTTAGATGCTTGGGATATCTTATTGTCAAAGTTAGAAGATTTTTCAGTTCGAGGTATAAAGTTCTATACACCTTCTCCAAACTTCTATTCTATCTTCACTGGATATAAATACGAACAAGTAGAATGGAAAGAAAATGTTATAGAAGCTTGGTTAGACCATGTCAAAGAAATTATATGCAATGGAAACGAAAGAGTCTATGAGTATATCTTATGTTGGTTTGCAAACATCTTACAACATCCAAGTGCTAAAAATGAAACTGCTCTCATTATAATTGGAAAACAAGGAACAGGTAAGAACACATTCTTTACAGATATTTATGCAAACTGTTAGAGGGCTATTCGAACCCTAATATGACAAACTTAGAAAACATCTGCGGTAAATTTAACTCTTCAATAGAGAATATGAAACTTATAGTATGTAACGAACTTCAAAGTATAGATACAACAAAAGTTTTGAACTCAGATGCTTTGAAGAGTCTTATAACAGACAAAGTTGGAGTTGTTGAAAGAAAATATAAAGACCAAAGAGTTTGTGAAAATGTTGCAAACTTCGTTATGGTTTCAAACAATGCTGTTCCGATGAAGTTAGAAAGTTCTGACAGAAGATATGTAGTTGTCAGAACGTCAGAAGCTCATATGCAAGATACAGAATATTTTGACGACTTAGCAGAAACTTTGACATCTGACTTTTACAACCACTTGTTCTCATATTTTATGACATTAGATATTTCTAAGTTCAATCCAAGACAAATTCCACATACCGAAGAGAGACAAACATTGTTAGAAGCAAACAAGAGTGTATATGAACTGTTCATAGATGAAACTGACTTTAGTGTTTAGATGAAAGGTCATTGTACGATTCGTATAAACAATATTGTCAAGAGTATGGTTATATGACAGCGTCTAAACGAACATTCTTGGCAATGTCAAAAGTCTTTTAGACGTACAGAATGGTGTATATACAAAGAAAATTTTTTCTGAGTAAATTTTAAAAAAAAAATATTTTTTTATCCGATAGAAAAGATGACAAAATTCATCTCAGTAAACAAGTACATGTCAGGACTTAAAGAAGAACTAGACCCATTCACATATTTGAATGTTTACTTCTACCATTTTGAAAGTCTTCATTCAGCAAAGTTTGGAACATCGAACCAGTTAAGTTTGCTATTGTGACTAAAAATGGTGCGAAATTTGAAGACTTAGACATAGAAGGTTTGTTAGCAGTCAAAGAAAGTTTTGACAGAAGGTTCTCAAACCTTAAAGAAGGCAAAGCATACAAACTTGTTATACCTTATGAACCAAAGAAAGCAGACGACTATGAATATTATGAGTCTAAAGTTGTAGAAGTTCAAGGTAAATTGGGTAAAAAGATTTTAGAGTCTAAGCCAGTGTTTGCTCCTAAAGAGGAAGAGAACATTGACATTGACCCAGAAATGTTCTAAAAATAAAATTTTATTTTTACATGTCAAATTTCTTCTTCTCTGGCTCTGGTTCAGGTTCTTTCTTCTCTTCTTCTACTTTCTTTTCTTTCTTTTCTCTCTTCTTCTTTTCTGGTGGAGTTATGTCAAACTTCTCAGAACCATATTTTGTAAAAGTTCTTTGTCCTTTAATAGCTCTTCTATTCTGTTTTCTATTTCATCTTCAAGAACAGTGCATGTGTCTTCTTTGCATTCTAAGAAGTTTTGTTGGACTTCATCTCTCCAAGAGGCGTCATCTCTGTCAACAAGTCTGTCATTGACAATTTTAAGACTTCTCTGCTTAATGTTTTATGGTTCTTGTCATATTCCCAGAAACAGAACTTTAGAACAAATTCACCTTTCTTGTTTACACTATGTAAGATTTTATGGTCGACAGATGTTTTGCTGTCGAAAAGCTTGTCTCGAATATAGATAGCGAAATCGCTAGACATTTTCTAAAAGATAAAAATTTTAATTTTTCTAAAATATGTTAGAAAAAAGTTGTGCTGACATTGACAAGAAATTTGAGAATGTTTTAAATAAGAACAAGAGGAAGTTGGAAAATGCTCAGATAAAACCCATACATGACAAGTTCTTATTTGCTCAGAATGGTATAACAGGTCTAATTGCACCACCTGGGTCGGGTAAGACTTTCACTTATCTTAAAATGGCTGCACAACAACAAGAACTAGATGAGAAGAACCCATTCTATGAGTTAGTTGTCATTTGTAGTACTTCTGGTCAATTTGACCAAACCGTCAATTCGTTCAAAGATATTATAAAAAAGTCTAAGTTAGTATGTATAAAAGACTCTGAGTTGTTAGATTGGATAAAGAAGTACCAAAGAAGGGTTTTGAAGTACAATGCTATAAATGAGTATATAAATTCGAAGTTTAAAGACCCAAATGAGGAAATGCAGAGAATATTAGAGAAGAAACACTTCAGAAACAAACAGAAAGAGATAGAATACATTTCGAAGAAATTGCAATCTTACGATTGGAAGACATACCCTCATAGGTGTCTTCTTATCTTAGATGACTTTGCTTCTCATCCTTTGTTAAAGAATAGAGAACAAGACATGTGTCGAATTCTCAAGAAGCTCAGACACTTTAACATCTCTGTTGTCATTTGTGTACAGACAGCAAAGAGTTTAAGTAAGGATGTAAAGAGAATACTTACTGACATTGTACTTTTCCCCGGATTGTCCGAAGACGATTTCATGGAACTTATGAAAGAGTCCATGGCAGGTAAGTTTGACAGACATGAACTATGGGAGAAGTACAAAGTCATACAAGACCCTCATACTTCTTTCAGAATTCATATCTACGCAAACAAAGTTCAAATTGTAAAAAGTCAAGCGTAAAAAATGTAAGTGTTTAGTCTTAGTCTGTTGTGGTTCTGCAGCTTTCGGTTCTTCTGGCTTTGGAATGGACTCGGTTGGTGGTACGTCGGACATTCGTTTGTGTCCTGTCGGAAGGAAGAACTTTTCCTGTTGGAAGGAAAAACTTTTCCAGTTGTCGGGAAATTTTTTTCCAGTTGTCGGGAAATTTTTTTCCTGTCTGAAGGAAAAATTTTTTTCTGTCGTTCGACCAAAAAGTTCTCAATTTTCGAAAATTTGAATGGTTTACGGACGAACAACAGGAAATTTTTTTCCAGTTGTCAGGAAATTTTTTTCCAGTTGTCAGGAAATTTTTTTCCAGTTGTCGGGAAATTTTTTTCCAGTTGGAAGGAAGAACTTGGAATGTCGGAAGGAAGAACTTGGAATGTCGGAAGGAAGGACTTGGAATGCCAGAAGGATTTGACAAGACAATTTACCTTATAGAGCTACCTGAGCCATCTGAAGTCAAGACCAAAAATAAATGGTTCATTTACTCTACTTGTTTGAAGTTGTCAAAATACTCTGTTATTTTTTCTTTCAGTAGCGGCAAATCTTCTTTGAAGGTAAGTATTGTACAACCTTTAATATCATAGTGTGTTTGAGGTAAAGTATCTTGAACTATTTGTTTCACATCTTCATTTGGGGTCATTGAAATCGGTAAGTTTCGCGATAGAACCAATTTCTGTCAGATTGTAATTATCTTAGCAAGGTCGTAAAAGCTTTTGTTGTTTCTTCTGACTAAATGCAACCCATATCTCTGTCTTCTTCATTTTCCATCTCTTCAGTATAAATCATATACTTATAGTTCTTTTTCCTTTCCTTTTGGTACCGAACGTGGTATTCTTTTGAAGGCTTTTGTCTTTTGCTTCAATGACTTCATCTTTTGCTTCAAGCTTGTTCTCTAGCTCTTCACGTTCTTGTCTATGAATTTCATCTAACATCATGAAAATATAACAAGCGTAACGAGGTGAAGCCCACATTGCAACAGCATTTACAAGAAGTCTATGAATATAATATCCTCTCAAACCGTTTGGCAATTTTTCACGATTTTCGTACGGAATCTCGACCCTCGGTTTTCCGAGGGTCGCAAACATATGAGGAAATTCTTCTAAAAGTTCTTTTGTCTGCTGGTTTTCAAACCAATGATATGCTTGCTTTGTAGAACGAAGAGCATTCAAAATACTTTGCATTTGGTACATATCGTCTTTGACCGAACGAATGAGACGTAACTGTTTGTTAAACTGAACCCACTCGTATTCTTCATTTATGGCTTCATGAACGATAGCAGTTGTTGTGTTCTCTGTTGTTGTCATATCTGTCCTTATATTCCGGATAAAAAAAATATTTTATAAAAAACTAACGTTATTTTCTGACTTTCACAAAAGACCAAAAATAAACGCTTTACATGTATTTTTCAGCAACTTCGTCAAATAATTTTATAGCTTTATCTATCTCATCTACTTCAAACGTTTCTTTACCTTTCGTGGGAGCACCATACATTTTCTCAAACTTTTCAAGTAGTTCTGTTTCTGCAGCTCTCATATCGTTAACGAACACAACCTTGACTCTATTGACTGTACTGTCATATCTTTGAGTTATATTATATGTTCTTCCTATCTTATATCTCTTTGTATTGAAGTCCTCGGTTTCTGAACGATGTAAAAGTAAGCCTTCACTGCAACGTTCCGTATCGAATGAACCATGTGTTATGAAGTTATATCCAACAACTGGGTCTAACCATAACAAAACTATTGGTATAAGACTTTTGTCTATAAGATATGCTCTTGTTCCATAGAATGCTACTGATATCATAAGCTCAGGATTTCTTGTCAAAATTTTCTGAGTAGAAGCAGTTCTAACCCAGTCGTGGGATGTTTTCTTTCCAGATAGTGTTAGAATGTCTGACAAAGAATATTTGTTGTATTTCTTTGAGTATCTTACGTTTAAATCACCAATTCGAACCACTTTGGTGTCATTGTCTATCTTTCTAACTGTTTCAAACTCAATGTTTAACATTTTCTGTTTCTTACATACAAGATAAAAAATATTTTTTTAAAAAAACTAACGTTATTTTTTTATTTTGTATCTTAAGGAAATTCATGAAATTTGGTCATTTTTTTCACGATTTTCGTATGGAATCTCTATCCTCGGTTTTCCGAGGGTAGCAAACATATGAGGAAATTCATGAAATTTGGTCATTTTTTTACGATTTTCGTACGGAATCTCTATCCTCGGTTTTCCGAGGGAAGCAAACATATGAGGAAATTCATGAAATTTGGTCATTTTTTCACGAAAATTCATAGAGTTTTATGCAACCCCGAAAAAAGTCGGTCTAGAGAAATTTCACAATTTTCATGTATAAAAGATATGATTTCAGGGATTTTTTTGACGAAGTGCAAAAGTTCTCTTCGTAAAAAAATAACAGTTATATAATGAAATTTGGTCATTTTTTCAGCAAAAATATATTTTAGGGTAGATGGTTTTCATGAGTTTTAGGCGACCAGGTTTTTTTCCCTACTCGCAATTTTTTACGATTTTCATGTATAAAAGATATGATTTCAGGGATTTTTTTTACGAAGTGCAAAAGTTCTCTTCGTAAAAAAATAACAGTTATATAATGAAATTTGGTCATTTTTTCACGATTTCAGGGATTTTTTTTACGAAGTGTAAAAGTTCTCTTCGTAAAAAAATAACAGTTATATAATGAAATTTGGTCATTTTTTCAGCAAAAATATATTTTAGGCGACCAGGTCCCTCGGTCCCTCGGTCCCTCGGTCAACTAACATCTTTTTGAAAATGGTGACAACATGACATTTTGACAACAACACAGGAAATAGACTTCTTCGTATATGTTTTGTCATGACTTCTTCGTCAATGAGCGTAAATCAGACAAAAATATATTTTAGGTGAAGAGGTGCGATCTCACCTCCTTTTTCACCTGTTTTTTCACCTCTTGAATTTTGTATAAAAGATATGATTTCAGGGATTTTTTTACGAAGTGTCAAAGTTCTCTTCGTCAAAAATAACAGTTATATAATGAAATTTGGTCATTTTACTCAGCAAAAATATATTTTAGGTGAAGAGGTGCGATCTCACCTCCTTTTTCACCTCTTTTCTCACCTGTTTTTTTCACAAGCGTTTTACATGAATTGTACGATGTATATTTGAAATTCTAAACAGTTTTGTAGCTTCTATTTCTTCTGTCAGTATGTCAAAAGTTTTCACAATATTGAATGTATCTTTATATTTCTTCTTGACATCTGAAAGAAGGAAATCGTCAGCTGTTGGATAGTTTTTGTTTAGAAATGTCAACATGTCCATTTTATCTTCTGCTGGCTTTTCTGCTTCTTTCTTTAAGTCTGCATAGTCGTTTCTCATTCTTTCTATCTCTTTGACGGAGTAGTTATATTTCCTCATTGCTGCTTTACATTTTGAACATTGTGGGTTCATTTTTGCGTTATATTCTGAAACCTTACCTGCTAAAACAACTATAGCGTCAATGGTTTTCTTTAACTCAAAAGTTGCGGGTTTTATTTGTTCGTTCCATACCTTACCTCTTCTATCTTTATCTCTTATCTGCCATACACATTCAGCAACTAACGAAACA